AATCGACGGGATGAGGAAACGGGGAAAACTCGGAAACGTAGGAACGTGTTTCTTTATCAATTCGGTGTTTCGACGCGAGGGAAACGTCGCGACCGAACGATTTACAACCGGTGTGCGCCTTATTTCTCGTATTTTTCACGGTACTGTCAGCCACGATTTACGGCCCAGTTATAGACGCGGCTACGAATTCGCTGATAATGAAATCGGAAAACCACGTTACACATTCACCATTGTATATTTCGCTCGCGCCGACAAATCTGTAGATTTTCTTTCCCCCCCCCCCACCTATCTGTGTGGTCGATACTTTATTGTAATGTAATTAGAATATAATTTATTTATTATATATTATTTTATTCATTTGTTTACACATTTTATCGTTATAATATTATTATAATATATTCATTATTATCTTTTATTATTTGTTATCATTCGACGGGGATAATACCCAATACAGATTAGCAATGACAATGCAAAGAATGAACATGCCAACTGCAACATCTACGTCGACGAAATACAAAGCGACGACGGATCAAACATATTACGCAGTTTTAAAACCCTATAGACTGTCGTTCTCGTTATCTTGTTTCTTATTGTTTCAACAGAACATTAAACGTTAGAGCTCGACGATTAAAGTATCATGCGAGAAACTTGCAATTAAAATGACTAGAAATGGGAAGGTGTTCGTAACAGAGAACGATCGAAGAAATCGTTCGGGCCTTTGGAAATTTAGTAATTAAATTTAAGAATTGAATTTCTCGCTTTAATCTGCGAAAATCTGCAGATTTGGATAAAATTTGGAAAAAATTCTGCGTTCAGAGGTTTATCGAGCTCGATAGTTCTCTAATTGGAGAATTCAATAAATTTGCAATCAGAGGATTTAATGAATATTGAGAATTTTATATTAATTTGTCTTCGAAAGTTTCACAATTCGAACTCGTTCGTGATTTGAACTTGCACCAAAAAAAAAAAAAGAAAAAAAAATCGAGAAATTAGGGCGCTGCAAATACTGTGTAAAATTGTTAAATTCGACGAGAATAAGTTTTGTTTTGAATTTTCGGACAGATCGACGAGCGAGGCATGGAGCAAGCTGGAATCTCGATAATACAGACTGGCGGAATCACCGAGACCACGGTGGGAAAATCGAAAAGCGTTGGCATCTCGTTCAGTTCGAGCTCCGGCCTACAGGCTGCCAAGGAGAAGCTGAAGATGTCATGTGAGCCCCTTCCTTTGCATCCATTATTTCTCACAACATTGTTTACATATTTAGAACTGAACTTATATTATAAAAATTTCATTACTGATAAATAGTTTCAGTTAGTTGAAGTTACTTCGATCGTTTATTATATTATCTACATTATACAACACGGACAGAACTAGAAAGAACTAGAAGAAAAAAACTAGAAAGAACTATCTACACAGTTTACATTATTTTATTCGATTACTTGTTTATTTAATTCTGCACGAAAATTCTGTCCTGATTTAGATTTTACAGAAACCTGCTCGAAATAAGAATATTTATTAACATCTTCTCTCTCGTAAGGGAGAACAATTTCATTACTTGTACTTTTGATTTTATAAAAGGCGAAGGCAAATTGTTCTCCAAATTACACTTGTTATGTTGCACTCCAACAGAATCTTTACATTTCGCGTCGTTCTTCGATTGCACCTCAAAAGATCTCAAATACTGTCCATTTTTTTTTTATTATTACTAGCAATGTGAAATATAAAAGTTCGTCAGTTTCTTCACAATATTATGTATTATTTTATGCTGTAATTTTTTTTTTTTTTTTATCGAACGTCTTAAATAAACCGCTGCATTTCCTCTACTAATAAAACTTGTACTTGATAATCGAACGCAACAAGATTATGTACAAAATTATTGGGAATAATTCCAACCTGCGTTTGACAATCGACTTTTCAGTTCCCGATTTTCTCAATAACTTTTCCACCGTATAACAACAATCGTGAGGATTCATTCTATCGCGTGAAACGACGACGAAAGTCATAATCCCGCGAGAGTTCGTTCACCCGACGATTAAAATGAAAAAGAAAAATGGTAGGGGGGAGGGGGAGAGATGAAAGGACGATCGGACGAGGTCTGGTGAGTTTCTGGCATCGCGTCGCGATGAAATTCTACTAGAAGGATCCCGCCTTCTGGATAAAAATTTGATCGTAGACCGTGTAGAAAGGTGCGTACTGGTTCTCCCCCTCCGGTGAAAGAAAAGAAAGTACACGGCGACGCGGCGTGCATTTCAGGAAATCAGGTGACCAGAGATCTCGCCGATCGGTCGGAAAGTGCATCACGTGACAGTCTAGTGACAGGAGCTCGTACGTACCATCGCGAGAAGAATCGAAATAATTGCGCGCGAATGATTTACTAGTTGCTGAGAACAGCGACTATTATATTTTTTTCCCTCATCTTCTTTCCTTATAACTCTTGTTTCTCATAGCTCTGTAATTCTCTCTTGTGAAAATTATCAAGACTATCCTCGACTTCGGAATGTCCTTCTTTTTTACATTTTGTTTATAATAGATATTTCGCGTTGCAGATTTTTGTGGCAATCAATTTTTGGGGAGAGAGAGAGAGAGAGAGAGAGA